CTTTTTTGTGGCTTATGTTCTCTAAAATACACAATATAACAATATTAAAAAAAAATCATAATTTGAAAAAAATTACAGCTTTTCTGCAAAATTACAGCTATGATGAACAATGAAAATACTCTGTTTATAGTGAATTTTCATATTTGAAGATCGAATGGTCTGGGAGAAGAATAAAATAATTACAATTTAATCATTTAATCTATTCATAAAAGGCATTTCAAAAGAAGAAAATAAAATAATAAAGGCCTGGTAAAAAGTTTCCAAAACCATTTTAATATGACGGATATTTAATTTGAATAAAAATCAACCCCTGGGTCACAAAGATGCCTGTAGTTGAAGAAACACGCATTTATCACTCAGACAGCTTAATTATTATCACAAATAGAACATTAACCACAGTTTCAATTGCAACAAATTTCATTCAGTTTTTCTGGTATTTATTTAAATTATGTCTTCTTTCTTTTTAGTGAGTCAGGAGCGTTTGTGGATTATAATCCTCTTGAGTTGTAGCGCCTCATTCCCTCCGCAGCCATGAAATCACACTCATATTGCCTCTCAGCTCACATTAAATGAGAATGAGATGTATTTCCTGAGCGATCCCTGTCGTCCATGTTTTGTTTTATGTATTCTGCATGAATGTTGTATCCCTGGTGAAGGCAGGGCAGAATTATCCATCAAGAAAGAGCAGGTAGCCGAGTACCTTGTGAATTATTTTCAATAGCTTCAAGAGCTATGTAATATTTATATTTGAAAAGGCAAAGTGTTTTCCCCCCTCTCTCTTGCAGTGAGGTGGCTTGGCTGTATTATTTTTATTCTTGCACTCTTTGTACCTGCTGACCACAGGACTCCAGATGGACTCTTTCATATTTGCCTTTGCATTTTAAAAACGTCCTAATAGCTAAAAGTCCAAGCTACCCGCAGTGCTTACTCTAAGTAGGGGTAGAGTCAGATGTTTTCTGGCCTCTTTCAGAGGTTCCTGCTCGCTACGGCTTTTCTGCCTGTCAGTCAAGACAATAGCAGCGCTACTGACGCTGTCCACAGAGCATCTCCAAAAGATCCCTGGTGACTGAAACTTCCCTGCATTCTCCTACGTCTCAGACACTGATGTGTGTGTGTGTGTGTGTGTGTGTGTGTGTGTTTGCATAGTTTCCTCTTTGAGCAAGTGGAGACTTGCTCTCTTCTTTGTATTCCTTACGTCCACCGATCAAAGAAAAAGCTTGAATCCTCTTCAGCAGGTCGTACTAAACCTGTGACTGGTAATGCAGGAAAACTAAAGTATCGGAAAAAGAGCTGGTGGTGTAAAAATGAGGCAGAATTGACTGGTTGAGTAAAAGCACCACTGCCCATATGCTCAGCTCTCTCTTTATCACTCCATTTAACTAATAGGTCTTGCCACAGGCTCGTGACTGAAGCAGTGCGCGTAGGTGTAAAAACACACTTGTGTACTTCATGTTGTCAATCTAGTTTTAGTTTTTATTTCAATAGCATACATGACTACAATCACAGACGTTCAAAGCACATGAATAACCCACATCCAAGACCCCTCATTTTGCATTGATGATGGTGCAGTCGCAGTCATCTTAATGTGATATTTCTGTCATCATTTACTCACCCTCGTGTCATTCCAAACCTGTGTGACTTTTGTTCAAAATATCTTCTTTTGTATTTCAAAGGAGAAATAACATATCATACAGGTTTGGACTGGTATGATGTGGAGCAAAAGATAACAGGAATTTCAATTTCGGTTGAATTATCCTATATATTATATACAGTGGAGATCAGAATTAACAATTTATATTGTGGCTATAACATGCTAATAGAACAGTGTTTCACAAAATAACCAAGGCACTTCAACAACAAAAAAATATATATATTTTGTGGAAAACACAGTGATGAAAATGAAAGGACAGCAAGGATTGCAGCACGAAGAAAGATTACAACTAAAATTTCTGAAGGTTACAGCAGTCAAAAAGTAGTAGGAAGTACAGAGGCCCTTGAATTGAATGACTTTCAGCACATCTCCAGCCGCAGGACATCACTAGTCTCTCACACTGCTTTGGTGTGATCTTGGTCCACCCTTCTTCCAGTCTCTTCAACAGTTCGGTGACTGTAGTGAGACACTATATGCAGAGACAGATCCTTACCCTGAACTGCAATTCCAGCTGCAGTGTTGAACCGATTCCCCATTGAGATTCTCCACATTATCCTGTCCTCTCATACATTTGTCTTTCATGGACGGCCAACCTTTTTTGTGGGGGACTTGAATGAGTTAGTGACAATGTAAAGATGCAATATTCTAGAAGTCACAGATCTGGAACTACCAACTTCTCGTGCTATGGCTGCTATTGGCCTTCATCTGGACAACCTGCTATCGGAGGGTTTAGAACAGCTCACCATCTTGCAAAGTCAGTGAAGACTGGAAAGTTAGGCTGCTAGTTAAATAGGTTTTGTCAAATAATTAAGGAAATTAGGATGAGGTGCAGGATTATGCCAATAACTGGGTATCTGAAAGAGTTCTCTAATTTTGATCAGTGTTCTTTTTTTTCAAATATGTGATTTAAGGTTTTTATAATGTGCTTCAGAATATATTTAACTCATGAAGTATGCTTATAAACTGTGCTTTTACTCCTGTTAGGATAACTTCAAATAGGTCTAAGCAGTGTCCTCAAAATTTAAGAAATTGTAGGTTGTTCTCTAAGTTTGATCTCCACACTATATAAATAGTAGTCTAACAACAAAAATTTTACAAAAATCTCCAAACCCTATTTGGGAACTTGGAATTTTGAAAGTTTTTGAAAGGTTATTAAATGTGCTCCTAGTGGTTATTTTGTGTTGAATATGCAGCGCAATTAAAAGCAGGATGGAGACTTGGTTATGTCCATTGTTAGAAAGAGGGCGGAGATCAATAACATGCATTTTAATGCAACATGCAAAACTAGATCAGGTTAATTTTCATTTAATTTCAAGGGGTTAGTTCACACTTGATATGAGGGGCCCCCAGAAGTTAATTCATACTGTACAAGAGGGCCGGGTCTCCCAGTGGTCAGCAAGCGGTCAGCTTGCGTTGTATGCAGCTCTAGTGGTCAGTTTCCTTTGATGGTCTCAGGTCATCCAACCTGATGTTTTGTAGGGCCCTGTTAGCTAGAGGCCCAAGGGCACTGGCCCTATCCATAATCCAAGCCTGCCCACATCCACATAAATATTTCTCTCCTTTGTTCTATCTGAAGTGTTAATGGCCACTCCTGTGTTTTGTTGTGATCGCAGCACCAGGGCTGCCTGAGGACTCCTATCTATTGTTGATACGGGTTCTTTCTTCAGCAGGTTACCCATGAACACCCTGAGCTGGCTGAGTGTTGCGACCTGATCTGCACTCGAGTAGAAGCTAGGACTGTTTGATTAATTATGGACCAATAAATAGTTTTTTTTTATCAAAGGCCATTTGTTATAGCCAGTGCTTTGGGCTTGCTGCAAGTTTCCATGCTGTGAGTATGAAAAGTAGCAAACAATGGTTGATGGGATTCCGATTTTCTTTCACCAGGTACGTCATTCCGTCACTGGATCGCTCCCATGCAGGCTTCTACAGATGCATCGTCAGGAACAGGGTGGGAGCTCTGATGCAGAGGAGTTCACAAGTCCAGGTCGCCTGTAAGTGTCACATCATATCCTAACACAATACAAACAGGAAATCCTAAAGCTTTAAGTGTGGTCGCTTAAGATATCACACTTTTGCTAATAGAGCAAAAAGGTCATTGTCTGTTGTCGATAGTGTAATAATACATGAAGCACGGTTCAGAGAAGTCAGCAAATCCGTGTGACCAACTTGAACAAGTTGTGAAATCCACATAATTCTATTTAATGATTGGATTTTGTCCAATAATTGTAAATGTGATCAGAGCTTTAGATAAGGGATGATGATATGAGGCAGCTTTAGTGCAAACAGTGTGAGATGATTAATGTACCAAAATTGAATACCTAGGTTTATGGATTCTAAAACATTTTGATTGGCAGTTTTGTTGCTTTGTTAATTTAGCACAGACAAATTAGCATATAGAAAAGCTGATGCTAGAAACTTGACTCATGCCAAACCAAGTTCCCAGCTAACAGAACAAACATTATTTGGCTAACTTTCTGGCAAGGCTCTCTAAAAGTTATGAACAAAAGTTCTTCCTGTAACGTTAATAGTAATGTAGTCTTTAATAATGTTCTAAAACCATTAGCACAAACATATTATGTTTACATAATTTGTGGAATGTTTTAAAAAAAAATTTAGCTGGATGTTCGTAAAACGTTTTTTAAAAGTTACAACTTTTAGAACATTCAATAGTAACATTCTCATAATGTTAGCAAACTAATTAAATGGAATGCTCCCTTAATGTTCAGTATTCTGTATATAACCAAGAAAAATCTGGACTCTTTGAAAATTTAGAGAACATTCAGTAATTCATGACTCATTGTGAACTTTAGCAAAACGTTCTTAGAACATAAAGCCGGATGTACAGTATATGTGCTTAGTCCGCTGTCTATATACCTTAACACTATTTTCAGAATTGTGATTGCATGGACAACAGTACATATGCGAGGGATCTAACAATTTGAAAAGAAAGTGGCATGTACGTGTCTATCTACACTCACGGTCAAAGGAGTAGGGGAGAGTGGGGTAAGATGAGCCACTTTTTACTTATGTGGTCCTCAAGGTAAGGGAAAATGATACAGAAGTACAATCAAAGTATCTAAAGTAAATTCAGGATGTTTCCTATCATTAAATTAAATTAATTAAATTAAATGTAGGGTTCTAAAAATATGGCTTCTTATAAAAAAGTGTTCCTGTGGCTCAGTTTGCCCCAGGGTGGGGGTAAGTTGACCCGAGTCAATGAGTAAGATGAACCATCTGGTTGTAAACTGACCATCTGACTGAATCTGGTTCAAACCCATGTTAAATTTGAAAGATAATTTACCTATTTTAAAAAACTAATTTAATAATCAAATTTCCTTTTTCAAACAGTCTTGTTTCTTTTCTTAAAGCTAATGTAAACAACATAAAACCAACCAAATGAAAATTGCAATCTTGTTTGCATTTCTGAAACAATATGTTTAACACCAAAGTTGTAATCTTCCCAAAAACAGACTAAACAGAGAGTTTGTTGAGTAAAATTAAAATAAAAAACAGAATTAGAATGAAGGAATAAATGTCACTGAAACTAATAAACAATTTAGTCAAAAGATTCTTGGCATGGTAGCTTTTCTGCAATGTCGAACAGGCCATTAGGGACTACAGGTGGAAGATATATCTAATTATAATGTGATGAAAAGCATCTTCTGGTTCTTATCAGATATGGATTTGGTGCACTTGTACACTGTCCCTATCAAATAAACTACAAATAATAATATGTATATATGATAAACTAAATCAGCTGTGTACTATCACATTAAACTACCAGTTTATACGTCAGAGATTTAACTTAACTTCAGCACCTTATGGTAGGGTAAGATAAAATGCTGGCTCAATTTACCCCACAGCATTTGGCTCACTTTGCCCCATAACTGCCATTTTGAAAAAAATAAACTAGCTTGCTTACTAATTCAGGCTAATATTTAGCTAAATGATTTACATGGTTTTATACATTGCTAAATCACTTATATGCGTCAAATATTTTTAGCCCTGGATAAATTTACTTTGATGTAACAGCCATTCCATATGTTATTCTAAAATTTTACTTTGACAAGCCAAAAAAAGTTTTTAAAGTTATCGGGTGCCTTCCACTCCTCCCGTGTGTATCTTCTTTTCACAGTCTAGCAGAAATTATGGGTGGTTTCAAAATATATGGTCACATGACAATAAAAGTGTACAGTTGGCAAGAGACAGGGGGTGGGTCAACTTACCCACTGGCTCATCTTACCCCACTCTCCCCTATACTTTGAAAGACTTAAGCACACTCAACTTTGTGCAAGACACAGAAGAAAATAACACAGAATGAAGCCTTAAGTGTTAGTTGCCAAAAGAGTCATATCACAAGATTGGAACTTTGTGTTTCCTGTCACAATGAGTCACAATGTCCCTGTTCTTGTTTTGTCCTCTCACATTCCCTGTTCTTCCTGATTTGTGCTCTCTGTTTCTCAGACATGGAAGGCTTTGTGGAGGGAGAACGGTCTCAGGTGGTGTCCCAGGGGGAGGCGGCGTTGATCTCCCCCCCACAAATCCACAGCTTTCCGCGGCCCGGGATCACATGGTTCAGAGACGGGCGCAAGATCCCCCCCAGCAGCCGCATGTAATCTTCTCTTCATTTGTGGATTAGAGTCATCTTAATGGCCCCCGTTCTCACAGATAAGCTATTATACCTTACAGAAATAGAGTACAATGCTGTTGTATAATTACTCTGGAACTTCCAGAAACACGACAGAGGTATTTACTGCAGAATCTCTCATTGATAAAGTCTGTTATAATAAGAACCCCTGTTGACTTTAGACGAAATGTGATTGAAGGCCAGAGAGGAAGCCGGCAACACGGGAGCCAATTAGACAAAGTGGACAAAAGACCTTTATTGATGACCTTGGATGATTGACAGAGTTTGCGCCTGAGTGCGCGCCGCCCCATGTGTGTGCGTATGTGTGCGCAGTCCATGTTAGAAAGGTCTTAGTAATCACCTGAGATCGATTTACCTCATCCGCCAGCAGGTGGCTCGACAAAAACAGCTGGCATGTTTGATGATCTATAATTCATGCTGATCGTCCAGCATGTCACATCTGACGTGAGGGCTTTAGACACTTAGGATTGTGTTCCCCCTCCACAGCGCACTGACTTTTTCAGCTGGAGTATGTGAGGAATCCCCAATGAGACGCTGAGCATTGAGGCAGGGGTTATATAAACATCTGAGGTTCCAGCGGCGCTGCTTCGAGCTTCATTCTGTCTCGCTTTCTGTGTCTGTTGAGCAGCAGTAATGGTCCTATATGATTGTGAGAGGGCCTGACAGCATACGATTTGTTTGCTGCTTGTTTGTTGCATTGATATTCCACGGCGCGTTTGGTTTGGACTCTGTGAGAGCCCTCACTCTAATTATGCTGGAGTCAGTTTAATCTGGGCTGATCAGGCCTGTGCTGACAGATACACAGGCTTTAATCTCGCTGCACTCCAAGTGTCGACTCTCATTTAACCACACGCACTCATGCATGACCTGCATTTTAGCTCCAGCAATCCTAAAACACTTATCTACTTGAGTCTTCAATGCAAATAACATTACCATCCCAGCCTATTGGACGTAAACAGTTTTCCTCAGCGCTACTGTGTGTTTGAGTTGTTTACTGACGTGTTTGCCGCTTGCAAGTTGTGTTTTCTAGTTCTGTGACTACTGTTCTCTTTCCAACGTCGTAGAGCCCTCACTTTGGACAACACCCTTGTCATCCTGTCCGCCGTGGCCCCTGACGCGGGCCGGTACTACGCCCAGGCCGTCAACGACAAGAACGGAGAGAACAAGACCAGTCAGCCCATCATCCTGAATGTAGAAAGTGAGTTCTGAATAAAGAATCAACACACGTTTTGTGATGTCCAGTCTTCAAAAGACTGTCTGCAACCTCCTATGGCAAAGATTCCCAAACGTATTTGTGAGCCGAACCCCTTACCTAAAATATTTACTTGTACCCCCTTAAATTTTAAATTGAAGTCAACAATTTAACAACATGTTGGCATGTTCACAGTTCTATGATGTCAGATATGGTCACATGACTTACAGGTAAACAAATACAATATTTACATACTTTTAATTGTTTTTAATTTAAAATCATCCATTTATTAATTGCTTATTAGCTTTTCATTTAGCTTTTTCCATCACCCTAGTTTAGGATACCCTGCCCTCGGGTGTCTATGGCAGCACTGCAGGAGGTCCATCAATTATTGTTTGATCTCAAACAAATATTTAAATATAAAAATATAATATTTAGACAGACTTCTACAATATTCAAGTTCAGCTAAATGATTCATCATCCCTCTCACATTAAAATGCATTAAGTAAAATGAAAATGATGTTACACACATATATATACAGTATGTATATATATATACAGTATGTATATATATATATATATATATTACGGGGCCGTTGAATGCATGAATCTGATTGGCTGACGAACGTTCTGAGGTGTGCAATTATTTTCAGGGAAATTCATGGCGAACGTAGTTCCAGGCAGCTCTCTTGACCATATTACAGTTCCATATCACTTCACATAGTTAACTGTAATAACTCCGCTTCGCGTCGTGGCCGCATCACCACCTCGGGTGTGCATTATTTTTCTAATAATTCAACAGCCCGTTGTCAATTATTCCTTACGTAAATGTCAGTTAAAATTATAATCAAGGGCATTACAGGTGCTTCAATAAGTTAGTCAACTCATCAAAATAATTGTATTTTAAATCACGACAAAATGTTACATTTGAAAAATGTACTTTAATATATATACACACGGTGCTAATTACTTTCAATTTGTAGTGCATTACTGATTCCAAATTCCATGACAAAAATTGTAGCTAGTAATGTAATCCGCTACGTTACACTTTTTGATTACTTTTAGATTACTGTTGACTTAACTCGTTAATCACATTGAATTTAATAAGCTAATATTGTACCATAATGATATAAAATTACAAAGATAAAGAAAATATATTCCATTCATTGTTATTAACAACATGAAGTGCATTAAACATTACATTACATTAAGGTTTCCCAAGCTGGGATTTGTGAAGGAACTGCAAGGGGTTTGTGAATTTAATGAAAAGCTAATGATTAATTAAATCATAGAACTAAGAAAATGATGCAATGTTGAAATCTTGACACATTGATACTTCTTAAAATTTATTTATTTATTTATTTATTTTTGTAAATCCAGTGTTCAAATGCTCAATTTTCTGTGAAATTATATCCATATGGCCTTTGTGTGAATGTCTACAAAACTAGAAGACTTTCTGAATGTATGTAAGTGTTAGGCTATTTTCCGAGTATTTAAAAATGTAATATAATCTAGTTACTTAATTTGTTATCTGATTACGTAATTCAGATTACATGTAATTACATGATTACATGTAAAAAGTATTATTGTGAAATATTATTAAAATAACTGTTGCTAGTGTTTTTTCCTCTTTTATTGATACGAATAGTGGAGAGTAAACCTGAAATGATAAAGAATAGGGTTGAACTGATGTAAGCTGGACTCGAACACACATTTGCTACATAAGCACCACTTCTCAATGTTCTGAAGCATTTACACAAACTGCCAGGCAATCTTATTTATTTGCAAATTGATTTTTCACACTATCCAACAGGTGAATTTGCTTTCAAAAGTAAACAACTCCATCGCCCCCTAGTGGCTGTGCATGACACCTAATGTAGTGCACACACTGGGTCAGACTTCAGTTTTTCAAGAATAAATATTCCCCAACTCAATGCGAAGTAGATTGCGAGTATGTGGCGTGTGGTGAAGCTTCATGGAGCTTTGTATGATAGCTGTGGTCCTGCGGTGCCACAATGACAGGGTGATTAATCACCCTCATAAAAACAGCTCCTCTCTTTAATAGACCCCACAAAAACAGATTTATGAAAAAGAGAGACAGACCATAAAGTCCCTCTGTGAGACCATGGCCTATACTGTAACTCTTATCCAGGGGTCCAAGTATGCAAAAGGAGGCAAATAAAGGGGAATAAGACCAAGACGGAAGAAAAGAGAGATCACTGATTGAGGGCAGAGAATCAATGGACAGCTAAAGGTTTCCAGAAGCCGGCAAATGATTGCATGGCATTTAATCATGTCGACTGCGTCTCTCGATCAGGCCCCGTTCTGCAGCGCGGCACATTAGTGAAGGTATTACAGTGCACTTACAGGAGGAGAGGGTGCAGACAATTACATATACTAAGCACATAATAGAGAGGGCTGTGAGAAAGAGACGAACAAGTGCTCTGGGCTTTAAGATTATCTTTATGTCTGCCTTCTTTCACTACCTCCACCTTTACTCTGGCTTTCTACCTATCTCTCTCTCTTTTATTGCTCAGAGATTGCTAGTTCAAATGGTTTCTCTTGTTCTAGGTTTCACAGGCTCCCAAATGGCTCCAGTGGGGTCATGGAGTGGGCATTCGCTGGATAACCACTGAGAAGAACGCAAAATGTATACATACTGTAAAAGTGTGGAGCTGTAAATTTCATGTTAGAAGTAAAGCTCACATGATTTGGGCTTGGAAAAATCTGGATGTGAAATGTTCATGGGATCATATACTGAAATCTCTTGCTTTGCAAAATTTTTTGTGATACTGTTTTAAAAGACACATGGGAGATTATTAAGGTGTTTTTCCTCAGAAGTAAAATCTGATAAGCAAGAGAATACAGAAAGTTTCCCTTTGCTCTTCATTTAAATTCACTGTGAAACGCTTTTGGTAATCCATTTACTTCAATATTTTCACATGTTTCAAAGCAAAAACAGGATTTAGACAGAAAGAAACGCAGGTTGGGGCTTAATTTTATTTATTGAATGTTGATTAGGAAAAGACTTTCTATGGAATAACACACTAATAATCATGATAAAGATAGTAAACAAGCTCATTTGCAGCTGTAAACAAATTCTGATGCTGTCAATCACAAATGTCTCCAGGTTACGCATGTAACCATGGTTTCCCGAAGGGAACGAGACGCTGTGTCGAAACGCTACGGGAACGCCTCCAGCGTGACCACGCTCTGAATCACATGTGTAATCAGTCCAATGGATGGGCGAGACGTCATGGGCGGGGTGACGTAGCGACCAGGAAGCATAAAAGCACGTGCGGTGAAACCGGCGTCAGCTTCTAGGAGTGAAGCAAGTGCTGGTAGGGATGCCGGAAGTATGGCCCTGAGATGCAACTGGAGTAACATGCGTAACCTGGAGACGTTCCCCTTCAGGAACTCGAGCTGCGTCAAAACGCTACGGGAACGAGAATGGCCGGAGGCCTCGGCCTCAGCGCACCGCGGAGGAAATGTGTAAGAAGAGGGTATCTTCCCACTGAATGGCCATCGAGAGGGGGCGTGGTAGGCCGCAATGGCCACCACAAAGACCTCTAGGGTGGTGTGGGTCAACCCTGTGGATAAACAGGCCTGCAGGAACTCCAGAACTGTACCAAACGGGCAGTTAGCTGGGTCGAGCTGGCGGTCTCCACACCAAGAAGTACAGTTTCCTCATAGAAGGAGCTCTGGATGGAGGATGGTCTCAACAACCTCGGTTGAGAGACCAGAAGCTATGAGATGTGCCTCCTCAGAGGCCACACCCACAGCTTCCAAATCTCCAGGCGGGGGCACGCCCTCCGCCTGTGAAAGGAGATCTCTCCTGACGGGAATCTCCCATGGAGCGCCGTCGAGGAGAGAAATCAGGTCCGAGAACCATACTCGGCCCGGCCAGAACGGGGCCACTGTCTTGCAGTCGACTGACGTCGTTCCAGTGCACTCTCTCCAGAACTCCCGGGAGCAGAACAATCGGGGGAAAGGTGTACAGACGAAGCCTCGGCCACATCTGTACCATGGCATCCAGCCCCAGTGGAGCTGGATGAGTCCGAGAGAGAACCAGAGGGACTCAAACAAGTCCACCTCAGCCTGGCCAAACACTCTCCAAGTCTGCTTCACCCCTCGGGATGAGGCATCTATTCCCTGGGCCTCGGCCCCTGCCTCGACAGGATGTCTGCCCCCACATATATAAAAGACCACTGCTGTGTTGTCGGTGCGCACCAACACATAGCGCCAATACATACTGCCAAAAGGACACAAGTGAATTCTTAATAATTTTGGAGTTATTCATTAGAAACCAAAAGACTTAACACTGAACATACTAAACCAGTTGGTGCCAAAAGGGCGTAACTGCACTTACGCCCCTTTGGCACTGAGAAATGTACTGTGGGTAAAATTTGTGGATAGCACTTTAGTCAAAATGGCTGACACCACATGTAAGCCAGGTAGGTCAACCATGAGAAGAAACCAGCTTTTTACTGCTAAAGATGTATTAGTTATCTTATTATGTGACAAAGAGCTGGATGATGAAGGAGAAAATGAAATATCCAGAATTCATTGTCACTGAGGTGTAGCTAGCTTAAATGGTACAGTGGTGTATAAAGTACCTGAAAGCCATACTCAAGTAAAAGTACAGATATCTTACCAGAAAATGACTTTGGTAGAAGTTGAAGTAACCGTTTAGAATATTACTTAAGTAAAAGTCTTAAAGTATGTGATATTTATTGTACTTAAGTATGAAAAGTATTTTTTAAATCTTAAACATACTTAAGTATTGAAAGTAAAAGTACAAGTAAATGCAAAATGGAAAAGAAGCAAATCAATATATATTAAAAATATTCATGCACGGCGTGAGTAGCAAGATTGTGTTCAGTTTTAACTCTTTCTTCCATTTTGAATTTTTGGGTAAGAATAAGAAGCACTTCATCGAGTACTTAGTGTCTTTCATTCCAACGTAAGAAAACATTTCTGGAATCTGCATCTGAAATAGCATTTAGATGTATTTACACAGTTTATGTATCTCAGAGTGGACATGGATGCGTTTAACCTGCAGTTACAAATGCATAAATAATGTTTTTTGTAACATAAAACGTGAATACTGTAGGGTATCAGACCGAATCAGACCATTTAAGATTTGATCAAGAACATAGTTGAAACACAAGGAGCCGAATTCCACATATGACTGGGGAAAGGATACAAGAAATGCAGTGAGTAAAACGTTATACAGATGTCCACCTGGGATCATTGCTGTGAAAATGAAAGACTTACTCACTCTGCACAAATGGCAGTATCCCACAGTCTTATGTGGACTTCTACCAAGCTTTACAATTCAGCCAGTCAGAGTAGGCTACTATTTCATGTACAATTCACAATTCCATCTGAAACTTACTTTATGAAGAGTTGAACTATACTTAGTATGAAATAAATGTATTTTAAATATATTACTTTTATTTTACTATATGTGTTATCATATAGGCTCTCAGTTACTGCTAGCTACAAGAGAGAGAATGTACACAGATATAGACAAAGGATATGACTGGGGAAAGGATACAAGAAATGCAGTGAGTAAAACGTTATACAGATGTCCACCTGGGATCATTGCTGTGAAAATGAAAGACTTACTCACTCTGCACAAATGGCAGTATCCCACAGTCTTATGTGGACTTCTACCAAGCTTTACAAGCCAGCCAGTCAGAGTAGGCTACTATTTCATGTACAATTCACAATTCCATCTGAAACTTACTTTATGACACACATTCATACTAGACATTTTATTTACTTTATTTATTGTCTATTTACTGACATATCACTCGATACTTACTGATATAGACGTTATAATTAAACTTTATTTGGAGTACTACTTGTGCACAGTGCACATTTCTCAATATTAAGCCTAAATGTGCTTTAATGTCACTATTGACGAGGACTGTATGATCTTCGAGTAATATCAGTCTTTAAATGCATGATATTTAAAGTGTACCTGAAGTATACTTGCAAAAGTTCCACTTTAGCACAATCAAATATACTTTAGTATATCTTTAGTTAGACTTCAGCACTACTTTCTTACAATTAAAGTGCATTAAGTACAAAATTAGTTGTTTCAGTTTAGCATACGTTAAGTATACCAGTTTAGTGATATGTGAATAATATGTAAATGTATTTGTAGTATAGCATGAAATAAATGTATTTCAAATACATTTTTGTATATTTATTTTTCACTAGGGAAGGCATCTGTAAAGGCTTTTCAATCAACCATTTGACCAAACTGTGATGTGCCTGAGATTACTATTTCAGTCAAATTAATCACATTCAATTAACTAATTTGATTATGCAATATTTTATTTTATCACAATGGATTGTTATTTCTTTTAAACTCATTAATGTAATGTTTTGTTCATATTGTCAGCCGATGCGCCCATGTTTTTATACACAATATTGAATAAAACATTGGTGCCAAAAAGGCGTAAGTGACTTTTTAAAACATTTTAAAAAACGTGGAAATTTTTTTTCTGAATAAATGTATAATGTTGTAGTATAGCATGAAATAAATGTATTTCAAATACATTTTTGTATATTTATTTTTCACTAGGGAAGGCATCTGTAAAGGCTTTTCAATCAACCATTTGACCAAACTGTGATGTGCCTGAGATTACTATTTCAGTCAAATTAATCACATTCAATTAACTAATTTGATTATGCAATATTTTATTTTATCACAATGGATTGTTATTTCTTTTAAACTCATTAATGTAATGTTTTGTTCATATTGTCAGCCGATGCGCCCATGTTTTTATACACAATATTGAATAAAACATTGGTGCCAAAAAGGCGTAAGTGACTTTTTAAAACATTTTAAAAAACGTGGAAATTTTTTTTCTGAATAAATGTATAATGTTATCCATGTGTGTAAACATTTTTATTATAAAAGATTGAAATCAGTACACAAAATCAGATCAAACTATGGTAAATTTTAGTTTTGGCCCTCCTGTAAAGATGGTGAAATGTCACTTTGATCTTCCAAGCTGTTTAATGGCAGTCAGCGGGTGTTGCAGTTCATCAGTCCAAAAGAAGTGAAATAAAGCACATCCATCCATAATAAAAAGTGCCTCACACGTTCCCGGGGGGGTGAACTAAGGCGTCCTGTAGCGAATCGATGCGTCAAGTTTGCCTGTCTTTTTATAAACTTGTCCAGGTGTTTTCCTCACAGAAACTTCATCTTGAAGTTCTTCAAACAGCTCCTGGGTTTTAAGAAGAGCTGATCTTTCTTTATTGCTATTTGTTGCTCTGTTTCTTATGAGAATGAATAAGAAAAGTTTTAGTTCAATATACAAGGGAACCCATGTTCAAATCCTAAAGTAAAATATACAACCATTAAATAGTCTGGGGTTGGTAAGATTTTTGAAAGAAGTTTTTGAAAGAAGTCTTGTATGCGCTCCAAGGCTGAATTTATTTGATCAGAAATACAGTAAAAAACGCAAATATTCTGAAATTGTATTACCATTTATAATAACTACTTTCTGTTTGAATATATTTTTAAATTATTTATTCATGTGTCACAAAGCTGAATTTTCAGCATCATTACTCCAGTCTTCGGTGTCACATGATCCTTCAGAAATTAATTAGAAAGAAACATTTATTTATGTTATCAGTGTTAATTTTTTTTTTTTTAGGATTCTTTGATGAATAAAAAGTAAAAAAGCATGTATTTGAAATATATATTGAAATACATTATAAATGTCTTTACTGACACTTTTGATTAATTTAATGCATCCTTTCTGAATGAAACTTAAACAAACAAACAAATAAATAACTTACTGACCCCAGACTTTTGAACAGTAGAGCAAAATCGCAAAAGCGAAAGACATTTTCACATAAGGAGGATATTTAAATTAATATGTACTGTAATATGTGATGACAAATTAATGTTTCATAAAAAAATTGCCTCAAAATCATCAGTTCTGTTTAAATATATTTTAAAATGTAATTTACTGCATAAAACATTTGCTTCACTTAACTTTTTTTTGCTGCTCTTAAAATATTTTATCAACAATATTCATGTAAAACTTAATTATTAAAAGTGCAAAAGTGCACAATTACCTCCTCAGTTTGAATGCGTTTGATGCTTCTGCACATTATTAATGCATCTAGTGTGATCTGTCATATCAGATAATTAAACACTCCACTATATATACAGTAGGTTGTTAAAGAATGTGAATGTTATAATGATTTTTTTTGACAGCCATGTAAAAAAAACCTGAATGATTTATTTTATACTGCAACAATAATGAAGGTGAATACTTTCTGAAGTATTTGAGTGTTTCTGAGTGTTTTAGATCAGTCTGGTTAAGTACTCTCACGACTGACTCAACTGAACTCTTTGCAGAACATCCCCAGTTTGTGAAGGAGCCCGACAGACACATTACTGCTGAGATGGAGAAGGTGGTAGACATCCCATGCCAAGCTCGCGGTGAGTTTGTGCGCCTCTGCCGTGTGTGTGTGTGTGTGTGAGAGAGAGTGTGTGTGTGTGGATGTGTTAGATAACACTCCTCTTCCTATGCCCCTGCAGGTGTTCCTCAGCCAGATATAGTGTGGTATAAGGATGCTGTACCCATAAGCCCCGCGAAGACACCTCGTTACAGAGTCCTGGTGGGCGGCAGTCTGCAGATAAATGGGCTCCTCCCGGACGACACCGGAATGTTCCAGTGCTTCGCTCGCAACTTAGCGGGAGAGATCCAGACGAACACGTACCTTGCTGTCACCAGTACGTCAAAGCACCATCTGGGCCTGTCAATAACTCTGTCTTCATTTATTACACTTCTCCCCTACATTCATCTTCTTCCTTATCTCCTGTCTGATGTGTCATTTTATAAAGCCTGTGACTTATCAGCAGCTTTTACTTTAAGAAAGAAGGACTCAAGAAACATTTCTTGTTATTATCAATGTAGAAACGGTTGTGCTTCTTAATATTTTTGTAGAAAAACCATGATACATTTTTTTTCCAGGATTCTTTGATGAATAGGAAGTTCAAAAGAACAGCATTTATTTAAAATTGAAATCTTTTGTAACATTATAAATGTATTTACTGTCACTTTTGATAAATTTAATGCAGCCTCACTGAAGAAAAGTATTAATCTCTTTCAAAAAACACCCACAAAAAATATTACTGCCTCCAAACTTTTGAACAGTAGTGTATATTGCTGGAAAACAAACAAAAATAAATTCAAAGAAAAATACACACATATATCAAATTGAAAACCCATCCATGTTTACAGCTTTTAATAATCTAAGCAAAAACTGCTGCTGCATATCAGTGACTGTTTCTCAGAAATAGGGCCTATTTGGTTGTTTTTTATTTTGTTATTTCACTGGAACAGAGAGCGTCCCACAGAGCAACACAGTGAGAGAAAAACACAGCACCCCTGACTAGAGGAAAGCGTAATGCTTAATGTGATGTACTTTCAAGTTTTTCTAATGAGTGATTACACTTGTTAAACAGAGACATTTTGTGTCCAAGGTGAAGCTAAAACTGGACTGGAGCATATATGGATGAATTGGATTGAATCGGTGCCAGAATGTGATTCCAGATCATTCTGTACCAATTTAATTTCTGTCTACAAGGATAATAAATCCTGAAATCGCCAGCATTAAGGGACCAGCCAACAGTTCCCTCAATTAAAATAACTTAATAAACATAGTAAATGTGTTCAGGAAACTCAAACAAAACGACAACTTAAAAATACAAAAAAGTTTCTGTGAGGTTTAGGAATTGAAGTGGACTCATTATTAGCTCAATAACACAATGATAAAAGTCAATGAAAAAGTCTCAACTGTCTGTGTTTGTGCGTGTTTTGGTTTTTGAATATCTGCATATGCATCTCACCAGCCTCTTTCTCTGCCACAGGTATCGCCCCAAACATCACGGCCGGCCCTTCTGACAGCGCTGTGATTGATGGCATGTCCATCATTTTACACTGTGAGACCTCAGGGGCCCCACGGCCCGCAATCACATGGCAGAAAGGTCAGTCTCCAATCAGTCATCTCTCTCAAAGAAGGATGTTCATCAGTGTCTCATGGACTTACGAACATTAATGTATCTTTGCAAGCTTAGGATGTCAGCTAAATCAAGTGTCCAATCAACGGTCTTCTGATGAACTGGGGACCATCTTGTCTGTTTGATCTTCATTTTCATTTCTCTCTCTCTCCCTTGTGTTTTGCCATCCCTCCATCTTTGCACAGCTGATCGGGTTTTGGCAAGCGGCTCCGTGCAGTTGCCACGTTTCACTTTGCTGGAGTCTGGCAGTCTTCTGATCAGCCCCGCTCACCTGTCTGACGTTGGATCCTACACCTGCATGGCCAGTAACTCCCGCGGCATTGATGAAGCCTCGGCCGATCTGGTGGTGTGGGGTGAGTGCATGGCTAGTCCCATATAGCGTGATTTCTACTGCAGCTTCTGTCCACCCATTCAATAAGGTCCATCTGAGAAGTGACTGTGAAAAGGTTCAAGAAGGTGGAAGGAAGAAGACAGGGTCGGCGTGACTGGGACTCAGGCTTTATTTGAGGTTCTCTGGCACAAACAAAAGAAGTGGCGCCCACTGCGCTTTCAATCACTTATTAAATAACTCAGAATATAAATCTGCATACAATTCCGGCTCCCGCAACCGGTCGCCCTGTGTGGCTCGAGTTCCCAGTCAGTCTCTCTCTTTACGTGCTCCAGGTGGCCCCTTTTATCCGGTCTCTCCACACTAATTACTGAAATGAGACACAGGTGTTTATCATTTGCGCTTGACCTACTTACGCCCCGCTCGTCTCCTGCCTCTCTCTCCCGGTGCAGACCTCGCTGAACCACGCCCCCCCCACCGCATTCCTGGAGAGGAAGTCAGCTACCGCCATCTGTACCCCCGGCCTGTGGACCACCTTGAATTTGAAGGGTTGTAATGCTAGATACCAATCTCCAATCAGTCATCTTTCTCAAAGAAGGATGTTCATCAGTGTCTCATTGACTTACGAACATTAATGTATCTTTGCAAGCTTAGGATGTCAGCTAAATCAAGTGTCCAATCAACGGTCTTCTGATGAACTGGGGACCATCTTGTCTGTTTGATCTTCATTTTCATTTCTCTCTCTCTCCCTTGTGTTTTGCCATCCCTCCATCTTTGCACAGCTGATCGGGTTTTGGCAAGCGGCTCCGTGCAGTTGCCACGTTTCACTTTGCTGGAGTCTGGCAGTCTTCTGATCAGCCCCGCTCACCTGTCTGACGTTGGATCCTACACCTGCATGGCCAGTAACTCCCGCGGCATTGATGAAGCCTCGGCCGATCTGGTGGTGTGGGGTGAGTGCATGGCTAGTCCCATATAGCGTGATTTCTACTGCAGCTTCTGTCCACCCATTCAATAAGGTCCGTCTGAGAAGTGACTGTGAAAAGGTTCAAGAAGGTGGAAGGAAGAAGACAGGGTCGGCGTGACTGGGACTCAGGCTTTATTTGAGGTTCTCTGGCACAAACAAAAGAAGTGGCGCCCACTGCGCTTTCAATCACTTATTAAATAACTCAGAATATAAATCTGCATACAATTCCGGCTCCCGCAACCGGTCTCCCTGTGTGGCTCGAGTTCCCAGTCAGTCTCTCTCTTTACGTGCTCCAGGTGGCCCCTTTTATCCGGTCTCTCCACACTAATTACTGAAATGAGACACAGGTGTTTATCATTTGCGCTTGACCTACTTACGCACCGCTCGTCTCCTGCCTCTCTCTCCCGGTGCAGACCTCGCTGAACCACGCCCCCCCCACCGCATTCCTGGAGAGGAAGTCAGCTACCGCCATCTGTACCCCCGGCCTGTGGACCACCTTGAATTTGAAGGGTTGTAATGCTAGATACCAACGGGTGATCCGTGCGTTGGTATCCTTCATGCGGTGGAGCCACTGCAGGGGCACATGGTCCGAACCGAGGGTGAACTCCCGTCCCAGGAGATAATAGCAGAGGGTGAGGATGGCCCATCTGATCGCCAGACATTCCTTCTCAATGGTGCTGTACATCGTCTCCCTCTTTGAGAGCTTCCAACTGATGTACAGCACCGGCCGTTCCTCCCCCTCTATCACCGCACACTTTTTCGGGTTGGCCGTTAGCCCGGCCTCCCTCAGCAATCTCAGAACCGCCCGCAGATGCTGCATATGCATATGCTGCATATGCATACACAGCATGCGGCCAGAGGATCCGGTCCATGAGCCGCTGAAAGGTGGCTGGAGTCCCAAACAACCCGAAAGGAAGCGTTACGAATTGGTGTAATCCAAACGGCGTGGTGAAGGCCGTCTTTTCTTTGGATATTGGTGATAAGGGGATCTGCCAATATCCCTTCGTTAAATCCAGTGTCGAGTAAAATCGAGCAGCACCCAGCCGATCAAGCAATTCATCAACCCGCGGCATTGGATACGCGTCGAACTTCGACACAGCATTCACCTTGCGATAATCCACACAAAACCGGACCGAGCTGTCCGTTATAGGCACTAAAACTATCGGGCTCACCCAATCACTGTTGGATTCCTCTATTACTCCCATATCTAGCATTGCCTCTAATTCAGTCTGAATTAATTTTTTGTGTGTTCAGGCAGCCGATATGTCCGGCTGCGCACCTACCATGCTGGCTCGGTCTCAATGTGGTGCTGAATGAGGTCTGTGCGACCAGGCAAAAGCGAGAACACATCTGCAAACTCGGCTTGCACCTTGGCCACATCAGTGAGTTGGGAGGGCG